TAAGACAACGCCATGGTTGAAAAATAAAAAAGACAAAAAACTAGGGGTGTATTTGGTTTATCAAACTCAATCAATTTGACGTTTTGATGGACGTGTAAACGATATCTTGTTTCTTTTTTATTCTTATTCATTGCAAAAACAAAAGAGGCAACAAGCAATCACAAACATAACTCGACGAAAACAGACAACACTGTAGCTAAAAAGATTACCGATTGAAAAACCAACAAAATACTTCAAAACACTTCATATTAAGCTAAAGACTTTGCTATTCGAACACTCAAAAAAAAAAACCCGGGTAATTTGAATATCTAGATTGAAGATTTTAAAGATATGCTATTAAAAAAAACGAATAGAATTCGAAATAGAAATTGTTAGTATATTTCATTTAACTAGAACTAAATCACTCCATGGATTCAGTTATTTATGGTTCCTACTTTGACCTGCAATTAGTATCGATAATGTTTTCATTAGATTATGAAACACATATCCTTTTAAGTGTTTCACTGGCAGTATGACATTTTTATTGACTTTAAAGTCATTCTGTTTGTAGAACATCTAACAGCTAGTTTATCCCCATCAGTATTACCGTACATGATTAAAGCTGATATAGAAAACAGCTAAGGCAACTGTTGTTTAAACGCAAAACGTTAAAAACAACAATATACACAACACAACATAGAAAACCAAAGACTGACAAAGCTGCATCATCAAGATGAAGTTGTTGGTGTGGCAGTCAGGACTTTAAAAATGTACAGTGGCGTACATCATTCTTTTACTAGATGATGTTTTATATCTACATTGGGTCAAAACATATGTGAAACAGCCATCGTATTTGTCGATTTTTATCTTCACATTTCAGATGTATGATAAGAAGTGTTAGAATACTTGTGGTCATTCTCATAATTTGAAATAGACGACATAACAGGAACTGGTTATTCGTTAATGAAAGAGAAAAAAAACGTATATATTGTTTATGATCTTATAAGATGTACAGAACTCAGGGAAAAAATGATATTGAAGTGAAATATAATGACTCCTTCGACATAACGTTCTAAAACGAAAATGCAGATTAAATTAAGACTTTTTGTTTTTGTTTTTTCCAAATTGTTTAATAATTTTTTCCTGAAAACTAAATATGTTTTTTATTCATTAAGAAAGAAGCTTAACATTATTATTGATTCAATTTGTTATCTGTTGTATTTCATCTTTCACAAACAAAATGTCCATAAGGTAACATTGCTGTGTGTTTGCTAGTTGATTTGACCCCATCAGTATGTCGTCATAATTTTAATTATCATATTTCCTTTGAAAATGTTAGTTAGAATATTAAAATACGAGATATTGTTCGATAGCTATTTGAACTAATATTAAAAGCACAAAAGAATTCGTTGAAAATATATTTGTTGTAGTAGAACATTGTATTAAACATGTTAAATATTATTGAAAACAAATATTTCAATAATCTGCAGTTATTACACGATTGAAAAACTTGGTTATGTTTGATGTTGTGTAAGTGCATAACTATGCCTTAATTGATAAGCAGCTGATACGAAAATGATGTATCAAACATATATAAAACATTGTATATATAAATAAAAAGATGTGGTATGAGTGCCAATGAGACAACTCTACATCTACATCAACTCTACATCCAAGTCACAATGTATAAAAAGTTAACAATATAGGTCAAATATAAAAAGGAAGATGTGGTAAGATTGCCAATGAGACAACTCTTTACAAGAGACCAAATGACACAAAAATTATCAACTATAGGTCACCGTACGGCCTTCAACAATAAGCCAAGCCCATACCGCATATTCAGCTATAAAAGGTCCCGAAATGACAAATGTAAAACAATTCAAACGAGAAAACGGCCTTATTTATGAACAGAAAAAAATGACCTAAAAACAAAAATGTAACACATCAACAAACGCCAACCACTGAATTACAGGCTCCTGACTTGGGACAGGCACATACATACAGAATGTGGCGGGGCTAAACATGTCAGCGGGATCCAAACCCTCCCCCTAACCTTGGACAGTGGTGTTACGGTAAACATAACAACGAACTATAAATTTCAGTTGAAAAAGGCTTAACTCATCAGATGAATACAAATAGAAATATATATACAGAAACATAGAGTGGACGTGGCCGGGTACTTGTACATCCCAACAACAAAAAGACACTAAGTACAAATCTGAGAGTACTTGCAGTTACTGACAGCTAGTTCAAAGCCTATTACAACTAATAGAAAAAATCATGCATCTAAGACTAAATTATCAATCATTACACATCCAACATCCAATGGATTTCGTGTAAAGACGTCATACACTAACAGTCACAATAGTCAGAGAAAAACATGACATTGTGCAATGCCACGATACAGGTACCGACTGATTGTGGATCCATAAATGTGCATATGTATATAACAATAATATTAAGTTTGCTTTTAATTTACTGATAACAAAATCAATATTAATACCAATAAAAAACTACGTTCAAAGATATAATTACAGTTTTGAATTGGTAACCTTTTAGAATAAGTGTATTTAAAGCATCGATAAGTTTACCAAGATCGTTTCTAAATTTCCGGGCACGGCAAACAACATCTCCGTAAAAATGAGGATGTGCTATCCCGTTTGAAATAAGTTTCTACAGGTACAACCAAACTTCAAAACCAAATCTTTATATCTATGGAAGAATTTAGTAAAGGTTTTAAGTAATTTGTGGTAACGAATTCACAGACTTAACAATTTACCAGTAATACATAGATTACGTTCATTAAAATCCAAAACGTCACAATAGACATGGGCATAGCGAACGAGTTGTGAATTATAAACACCGTAAGATGGTGCCAAAGGAACATCACCATCCAAAAAAGAAACATTGACAATAGGGAACGAAAAATCGTCCCTTTTGTCGTAAATTTTAGTGTGGAGTTTCCCATGTAAAACTAAAATATCTAAACCTAGGAAAGGACAGTTATTACTGTTTACATTTTATTTATATAACGTAAGTTCCTTTGGGTAAATTTCGGCAGTATATTTAGAAAATTCTTGATTATTTAACGAAAAAATATCATCAGGTTAACGGTAAGTGTTGTTGAATTTATCAATTAAATGCAATTTAGACGGGTCTTTACTGAGTTTGGTCATAAAATGTGATTCATAACAGTACAAAAACAAGTCTGCTATTAAAGGGGCGATAATAATGCCCATAGGAATACATACAACTTGTCGATAAACTTTGTTGCCGATGCGTACATAAATATTATCAAGGAAAGTACTGTCTACAACACAGAGTATTGGCTCAAACCCAACAACAAGCTATAAAGGGCCCCAAAATGACTAGTGTAAAACAATTCAAACAGGAAAACTAACGGTCTAATCTATATAAAAAACGAGGAATGAGAACCACTTATGAACCACACCAACAAACGACAACAACTGAACAACAGGTTCCTGATTGAATTTAGATAATTTTCAAATAAAATGTTTTATCTTTTTTGATATTTATTGATTTTTTGTAACATAGACCATTTTGGTTTGATCCCAGAAGTCTTTGCCACAAAATTCAAAAGAAAATGCTTTGCTTTACATACAAGTTCATTTCACCAACATTTCTGCCTCTTTTGACTAAATACTTAAAGAGGACATTAATATAAATTTTGCTCAAGTTGTTTTCTTATTATAACATAGGCTATGTGCCTAATCCAATGAAGGCTGTGAGCAATATCGACCAAATTTTCAAAAAAAATACTGTAACTATTCTTATGACAACTTTTAGAAATGAATGAACAGATCTAGAGGAAATCAAAAACAACATTATAGACAAAATAAGATATCATTAAGTAAATGATAGAGAACTCAAACATTTCTTTCCTGGATAATTTAATATGTTGTTTGTTTTCGATTTTGTATTTAAATCAACGTGAAGACATCTGATACGTTCAGGTATTCCACATCCAATCTTTTATGGTAATATTCTTTACAAAACACAAAAATATCGTTATTCGCCTCAAAAGCTAACCAAAGCTATAAACAGACTTACTCAGAAGAGATATAGTTACGATACTGTTGTCAAGTCATTAATGATAGCATTTTTTTGAAATTAATATTGATTCACTCATATGGTCTTTGCATCGAAAATAAAAACGTTTATTCTAAACACTGCTGTTAGCATGTTACGGATTATGTTCTTATTGTATAATATATAATTACATGATACATAACCCTAACGGGATGGATTGTACTTAATTTGCATGTGATGAAGACATAATATTTCGATCAGTTTAATTAACGTGTCAGTTACTGCTAGTAGTCCTATGTTAATTCATGTTGATTATTGTCATTTTTCTTAGTTTCTTTTGTTAACTATTCTAACATTGGACTCGGACTTCTTTTAAACTGAGTTTAACTGTGCTATTGCTGTGTGTTTGTTTATTCAACATTAGCTAGAGTTATAGGGGGAGGATTGAGATCTCACAAAACAAGTTTAACCCCGCCGCAGTTATGCATCTGTCTCAAGACTGGAACCTCTAGCCATTGTTAGTCTTGTGTGTTTTTTTCATTTCGGCTTATTTAAATGTTTCGGAGTTAAGTGTGGCGTTCATTTCGCCAAACAATATTGTTTAGGTGCCAAGTAAAGCCCGTCTCCGAGTGCGGGATATTCTCTCTGCATTGAAGACCCATTGGTGGCCTTGGGCTGTTTTCTGCTCTTTCGTCGAGTTGTTGTCTCTCTGACACATTCCCGTTTCCATTCTCAATTCTATAGTATGTGTATTTTGTTTTATTGTGTCATCAGGTTTCTGTCGCTTTCATGAATGTCTGTTTATTTATTTTTTTTTTCATTTTTTAATTTCATTGTTGAACCCGAATTTCTAACACCTTATTCATAACAAAGTGCATATAATTTTAGCTATTCTTTTATTATTTATTTTCATGGGTGTTTAAGAATAATGTGTTGCATAACTACTCCCCATGCTCAAATGGCCATCTCATTAAAAACATTTTGTTTTACAAAATGGGATACACAAATATAAATTCTATGTTTTGTGTCATGAAAAATCTTACTTGTGAATAACCACACTGATTCCCACAACAAATACACCGAAGGTCATATCATCAAATGCTAAACTTTTTAATTGGCAAATTGAACATATTTGTTGAGTTTGGAGTATTTATGTTTCAGCAGACAGTCGGTATTTAAATCTGCACCACAACTTCCCGATTTGTTTTTGTTCTCATATGAAGCACAGTTGATTCAAGACCTTCTCACAGAAAAAAAAGAAAAAAAAATGCAGCATGCAAAGTTCCTTAATTTCACATTCAGACATAATGATGTCCTGTTACCCAATAACCATCATTTCAAATAGTGCTTACATCACATATAGCACAGCGAAATTGATAATAAGGATGCTATCGAAGGTAGAAGGTCTGCTTCATATCTTGATATTTTCCTCGATATAGAGAAGGATGGACGACTTCAAACTAGGTTTAGCGGTCTTAATTCTATTGAGTGTGGCCTATTCCCGATTGCGGTTTGACGACTTTGTGATGATTCACATGGCGGGTGATGCATGCATAGCAGGAGACGCTTACCTTGTCAACGCACCGGTTTGGCTCCTCTTTGAGTTCATTGGATTCCCTCCGTTTGGATGTGTTTCCTCGATGTGTTTTTGTTGTTGTATTATATTTCCCATATATGAGCATCGTTAAACTAATGTCGCCTCAATAACTCATTTTTTTATTTGGCCACGGACATTTACTAAGCAAGGTTGCAAGAACGTTTTTACTGACAATATCTGTTTGACGTTATAGTTCTTGACAGCTCTCATTAATCTCCAATGGAAATAGTCAAAAGCAAGAACAGGACTTTCCTTGGTATGTCTTCAAATTTCGCTCTAATATCACATCTTTAACAACTACAGGAATATATCTCACATTCTCTGTGTCTGTAATGAAAAAAAAACCCATATCATCACCAGTTTTACAGTAAAATATATCAATTTATGAAATATTCATGGGCTTATAATTGACAAAATAAAAAAAAACATTTGGGTTCGGACATCCCGTTTAAAGGGATAATATATACTTCATTATTCAAAAGAACCAGCATCGGACATTTTTTTTTTAACTTACTGTAGTTTGGGAGAAAAATATATGTCGAATAAACAAATTCAGGGATTGCCTTATTTCATTAATTGATATAGTGTAATGATTCAACAAATTAATTAGTTATAGACATTCAATTACCGAACAAACAGGTGAAATGTTCATAGATGATCCGATCCGGGTCAGTATTTAATTCTAAAAACATCTGCAAAATGAACTGTCTTGCTGCCTGTGCATCCTTCCTTGGTCCTACAAAAAATGGAATGTTAACGACTGCGAATTATTGAACTAATAATTGGTTCATGCCTATGCATTAATAGTTTGTTTATGGCTATGACCTCAAAACTGTTTCATTGCTATGTACCAACAGTTTATTTATAGTTATGCACAAATAGTTGCTTTATGGCTATGCCATAAGTCTTATAGTTGCTCTGTGACTTTGCACTAATAGTTGGTTAATTTCGATGCACTAATATTCCTATTTTTCATAACATCAATATTACTTCACTCATTAAAATATTTTGGTTTGAAAAACAGTGAATATTAGTTAACACCATAAAACTTTTAATCTGTCGATAAACCTTGACGAGAAATCTTTTCAGTTACTATACAATCACCGAGAACTCACCTTTAAATTCAGGGAAGTAATCCACAAGATGGGACACCAGGATTTTTTCTTCTAAGACATCTTATTTATTCAAAAGCAGCATTATTCCACAGTTCCTGAACCATTGATTATTAATACATGTCTTAAACAGGGATTTAGCTATATCCATACGGTTCTGAAATATACACAGAATCGAATTTGATATTCATAGTAGCATTCTGCATAACTTGCCAATACAATGGTACGGTAGGCAATGCAATGGCTTTGACCTTTGACTTTATATATTCTAAAAACTGAAATAACCCTATGAGAATAACAGGGGAGGGCAAACAAATGTCATTATGAGAAGTTCAAACGACATCATGGTCAAACCAATACATAAGTTATAAAAAAAATGTTGAACATAATCCTCACTAAAACTGGTCCGTAATGGCACATATCATGTTCGGTAATAAATCCTGTCCTATGATAAATTTGTGTGTAATTAATCACGACTATTGAAATCGATAGTATGCCTGACGCAGGTTATTAGTGGATCAAGCACTATAAAGCGAACAACCTAGTCAAAATGACTGTACTTGTGATATCTCAAACTCATCAATGGGCAGTTTTGTGGTTGGTTTTGAAGCTTGTAAGTAAGCAACAACTAAGTCAGTCAGGGGCGTTAATTAAACAATGTTTTTTTTTGTTACTTATATAGGTAATTTTTGTTTTTAAAAATTATTTAATTACTCAATAGAGTTATTTTAATTTTCAATAGACAAATGTAGTTTTTATGAGTTATTACATAAAATTAAGAATTTATTTATTGAGAGGAATATATATATATATAGATTGCCTAACAATGTAATTTTAACACACTATTTAGTATGTAAATATAAGAATGTTTAAAATATTTACAAAATGATGAAAATAAACGCAATATTTCGCTAGACTAACTAGCTTTATCAAGCGTGCATCTATCCAGGTGAAATCGGATGTAGATGATAAGAAACTTTTGCAGCTCAGTGTATATGTTGCACTTGAATTTAGCTGCCTTGAAAATAATACATAATTTGGATGAAGATCAAGATTTTTACAAAATTGGTAGTTGAAGTTAGCAACGTCCATTGGCCAATATTACAGGATAAAAAGGACGATGCTGTGTACTATATTATTCTTTATCTTTCCTGTATCTTTTCTCATCTTTTTCGTTAAGACCACCAGGTTCTAACGTGTGGAGTTGGTGGATCCAAAAATGTCCATTTTGTCCATTGTTTCTCCTACATACTGAATGCCACAAGTGTCACATGTTAATATATAAATTGAGTTCTCCGTTTTACAGTTGGAATTTGAGTTGATGGTATAATTTTGTTTAGTAACGGAGCTGATGAAAGAACTGCTTGTATTAGCAGCTTTACAACACAAGCAGTTCCTTCGACCACATTGTTTGTAGCAACCGGGAGATGGAGTAGGCTGCTTTGCTAATACGGATGTCACTAATTTGTCACGGATGTTTTTAGGTCTTCTGAAGGCCATGGACTGGTGGTGAGGAAAATACTTTTTTAAGATTTGAATCATTTTCTATAATTTTCCAATGCTTCTGAACAATGGAAGACACATTTTTAAAATCAGGATGGTAAGTGAGTACAAGGGGTGTTCTGTTAGCTGCTTTATTCTTATCTTTGTACTCTAGAAGTTCTTGGCGACTTGTTTTGTTTGCTCTTTTGAAAGCGCTATCAATGATGTTGTTATTGTATCCTCGAACAACTAGATGTTTACGTAGTTGTCCAAGTCTAGCATTTTGCGTATTTTCAGTAGAGCATATTCTCTTGATTCGCAATGCCTGGCTGAATGGGATGCCACGGAAGCAGTGTTTAGGATGGCAACTTTTAAGAGAAAGGAATTGATGTTTGTCCGTTTGTTTGGTATGAAGGTCCGTTATAATGGTTCCGTTCTTGATGTAACTCGTAGTGTCGAGGAGTTTATTGTCTCCATAGATGATTCATATGTAAATTTTATTGAATGATAGAAAGAGTTAAAGTGTCCTAGAAATTCATTAAGATGTTCTTGTGAATCTGTCCATTCAAATCTATCGCTATCTTTACAACATGGATAGCGCACTGCATTTCAAGAAATTAAGATCTTTAACTAAATAGAAACTACAAACTAAACATCATTTATCAAAATTTGGAAAATATTTTCAAAGTAGAACTGTACCAAAAGGTTCAAACATCAAAGTGAGTCCCCAGGCACCGGGACATAAATCCAAAAGATTCATGAGCCGTTGGAATGAAATTTTGTTTAACTGTTCAATCCAGCTACTTCAACTGTTACTTTCTTTTACAACCACAAATTACAAACAAATTGTAAATGAAATATCAGATATCATCAACAATAGTAACATTTCACGTGACGATTTACCAATAATTAAACGTCGCCTCGCAGATATTGAAAAAATTGAACTATCCAAACATAAAGAAAAACAAAGGAATAAATTTCAAAGAGATAAAATTCACACTGTCTATTTAAATCAGGATATGAATGATATCAATACAACAAACCATAAGGTCCCTAAAAAGAGAAAATTCAAAAGACGGAAACAAAAAACTGAAAGCATTGTTGTAAATTTGTCATCTAAAGAACTTACACGTGCTGAAGAATCTCTTTTAAGTAAAGGTTTAAACTTCTGTCCTATCCCATCAAATGTAAATAACTTTCAGCTAGACGAGGACTTAGACCAATTCGCTAGACGTTTACGCTTGAAAGATTTTTTCTACAATAGGGGCAAGAAAAACCTTGAAGAAGCTGGATTAACAGATTCAGATACTGACACCAATGAAGAAGTCACGCCCATCCCACAATTTAAGAAAAAAAGTTCATGGAAACCACCTAAGAGTAAAAATGATAACTTGGAATCATTCATTAACTACGTGAGGTCTGATATAAAGTCCTGTATAACAAATACAAGAAATTATAATTTATCCAAGTCAGAAAGCATTGCTTTGAAAGCGTTAAAAGATCAAGAGGATATCGTAATAAAACCTGCCGACAAAGGGGGCGCTGTGGTTGTCATGAATAAAACAGATTACATAGAAGAGGGAAATCGCCAACTTTCAAACTCCATTTTTTATAAACAATTAACCACAGATCCAACATTAAGTACTTTTCGAAGGATCAACACCATCCTTCAAGAGATGTTCGACAAAAAGCATATAGACAATGACACCTTTGATTATCTCCGACCTCTTGAGAACGAAGCAAAGGCCGGAAGATTCTATATGTTGCCTAAAATACATAAAACGGGCAATCCAGGTCGACCAATTGTTTCAGCAAATAGTCATCCAACTGAAAAGATATCAGAATTTGTAGACCATCATCTAAGACCTCATGTGAAAGAACTACCCTCTTACATCCAAGATACGACTGATTATCTAAAGAAAATGGAAAGCCTCAATCCTCTACCAAGCAATACTATACTTGCATCCATGGACGTGTCTTCTTTATATACCAACATTCCACAAGACGAAGGAATAGCAGCGTGTGAAGAGGTATGGAACACTCGTAGTGAAACTGAGTGCCTTGTTACACTTCTGAAACTAGTGCTAGAGAACAACAACTTCTCTTTCAATGAAAAACATTATCTCCAGATAGACGGTACTAGTATGGGCACAAAAATGGCCCCGTCATATGCCAACATATTTATGGGCCAACTTGAAAAACGCCTCTTGGCTAGTGCTCCATACCAGCCCTTAGCATGGTTCCGATTCATTGACGATATTGATTTCAAATGGACAGATTCACAAGAACATCTTAATGAATTTCTAGGACACTGTAACTCTTTCCATCATTCAATAAAATTTACATATGAATCATCTATGGAGCAAATAAACTTCCTCGACCTTACGAGTTACATCAAGAACGGAACCATTATAACGGACCTTCATACCAAACAAACGGACAAACATCAATTCCTTTCTCCTAAAAGTTGCCATCCTAAACACTGCTTCCGTGGCATCCCATTCAGCCAGGCATTGCGAATCAAGAGAATATGCTCTACTGAAAATACGCAAAATGCTAGACTTGGACAACTACGTAAACATCTAGTTGTTCGAGGATACAATAACAACATCATTGATAGCGCTTTCAAAAGAGCAAACAAAACAAGTCGCCAAGAACTTCTAGAGTACAAAGATAAGAATAAAGCAGCTAACAGAACACCCCTTGTACTCACTTACCATCCTGATTTTAAAAATGTGTCTTCCATTGTTCAGAAGCATTTAAAAAAATATAAAAAATGATTCAAATCTTAAAAAAAGTATTTTCCTCACCACCAGTCATGGCCTTCAGAAGACCTAAAAACATCCGTGACAAATTAGTGACATCCGTATTAGCAAAGCAGCCTACTCCATCTCCCGGTTGCTACAAACAATGTGGTCGAATGTCTGTTTATGAAGGAACTGCTTGTGTTGTAAAGCTGCCAATACAAGCAGTTCTTTCATCAGCTCCGTTACTAAACAAAATTATACCATCTACTCAAATTCCAACTGTAAAACGGAGAACTCAATTTATATATTAACATGTGACACTTGTGGCATTCAGTATGTGGGAGAAACAATGGACAAATTTAATATTCGGCTCAATAACCATCGTTCATGGTACAAAACCAACAAAAACTGTCCTCTCACAAGACATCTTCGTTCAACGAAACATTCTTTTGATAATGTTACTTTCCAAATCATAGAAGTCAACACCGAGTGGGACACCACGGCAAGAAGGAGAAGAGAAAATTTTTGGATCCACCAACTCCACACTTTTGAACCTGATGGTCTTAACGAAAAAGATGAGAAAAGATACAGGAAAGATAAAGAATAATTTAGTACACAGCATCGTCCTGTAATATTGGCCAATGGACGTTGCTAACTTCAACTACCAATTTTGTAAAAATCTTGAACTTCATCCAAATTATGTATTATTTTCAAGGCAGCTAAATTCAAGTGCAACATATACACTGAGCTGCAAAAGTTTCTTATCATCTACATCCGATTTCACCTGGATAGATGCACGCTTGATAAAGCTAGTTAGTCTAGCGAAATATTGCGTTTATTTTCATCATTTTGTAAATATTTTAAACATTCTTATATTTACATACTAAATAGTGTGTTAAAATTACATTGTTAGGCAATCTATAATTTTATTTGTGTAATTGAATTAATCTCTGTACTGATTAATCCACACTCACATAGATTTGTATGTCATGTGCCGCTATTTATAGGCACTTATATATATATATATATATATATATATATATATAAAAGGTTACTTTAAAAATAATGACAAAAATAATTATATTACTTGTATATGTTATTGTATACATCATTGAAAGAATTAGTAATAACCATTATTTAAGGAACATATGTAATTGTTTTAGGTTACAAATTATAAATAACTTCAAGTCTTAATTAAATCACAAGTTTTTATCTATCTATATCTGTCTACCTTCAAGAATTTCATGGAAAAAATATTTTAATAATCCCAAGAGACTACTCTTAGACCCACAAGCGTCGTTATGAAAGGTAAGTGCGTCAGAAAGGCAATTAGTGTTTGAGGAGGACTAGTGTTTATAATTCATGGGAAAAGTAACCAGATGTCTGTGAAAAATTGTCAAAACTAGTAAAATCTGTATTACTGGACACCTATAAAAATGGTATTGACAAACAAAATACTTATATAAATAGCATTCAAACAGCCTCGTTTTCAATTTAACTTGAATAGGATATTTTGAAAGTTACTTTTTTAAGTAATGCCCCTGACTGTTTTTGCTACATCTACATCTATGTATTTTACTAAAGAAGACAGAGATATATAAGACTAAGCTACAAGTAAAAGGTGTCTTGTAATTGAATGCAGCAGTCTCGTATGAGTGGCAACACATTTTGAGTTGCATTTTGAAATATGAAGTTAAATCAGTTTCCCGTAATTCATTACACGTTACATTTTCTTTTAAATCTGCACTTCGTGTGTATAACAATCTTGTTTCGCATTGCACAAAGTCATAGTACATCAATATTTGCAAGTGAAAAAATAATCCTGATACACAAAAATACGGATAACCAATTATAGAATGTTTGTATTCAGGATACCAACTTGACAAAAAAAAAAAAAAAAAGAAAAAGATGAGACCCAACCATAATTTTGATATTCATTGTAATATGTAAGCGAATCAAAAACACATACTCCGAATTTTACTGGAAATCTATCATATAATTTAACAAAAAGACGACACATGCAGAAACACTAGTCAAAGATTGTGATTGGGGGTAATTCTTAAATGCATGGTATCTCAACATTTAACAAAATAATGTTTTTCAGTGTTAACAAAATGTTACACTTACTTACTGTGTTATAAATTTCAATTTGATCATAATCACTTAGAGCAGCGATAAACATCAGGGCTGGAATATTTTCAAAATAATGAATCCATTTACGTCTTTCTGTCCTAGGGCCTCGTATATCAATAATTCTATAAGATTTGAATATATATAACATAAGAACTCAATGATAATATTCAAATATGTATCTCCTAATATCATTTCAAAACGATGATTGTGTTATATCTGAATGTAGTGTTGTCGTTGGAAAATAGTATATCGATGGCAGATCACAAATAGTCTATGCTTTATATATTAATAACTGTTTAAACTCTATTTACAAACCGATATCTGTATATTGTTGGGAATCGTACTTCGACCTCGGGAGACTTCTTTTCTATTGATCACTATTTTTCTATAGATTTGTTCTTTAATTCTTTTCTTTTCTTTTTTTATTGGTATACTGTTTTGTGGCTGGTCATTCTTCCAGAATTGTACGCAAGGTTGTACAGATAATATTGTATATTTAAAGTATATATGTGAATGACGAATGTCTTTGAAGAAAAAAGTAAAACAACAAAAATACCGAACGCCAAGGAAAATTCAAAACGGAAAGTCCCTTAACAATTGGCAAAATCAAAAGCTCAAACACATCAAACGAATGGAAAACAACTGTCATATTCCTGACTTGGTATAGGCATTTTATTATGTAGAAAATGGTGAAATAAACCTGGTATTAAAGCTAGCTAAACCTCTCACTTGTACGACAGTCGCATACAATTCCATTATATTGACAACAATGTGCGACCAAAACAAACAGACATACTAGTTTAAAATGTCAAAAATAGGGGTACAGCAGACAACATTATGTTATAATCTCAATCACTATAAAACAAACAAATGAATCGTCTATCAATTTAGATATAACAATATTAACATTTTACTACTTACCTGAGTAAAAGATCACCAATATGATAAAGATACTCAGCTATCCCATAAAAATGAACAGTGCTATGCAAAACATCATGTAATGAGGGTAGATAGTTCGATTCTGTTACTCGGTCGATATGATGCACAAAGCTGAAATCAGATGGTAACTGTCAATTGTCTGCACACGTGTTGTAAAACTAACCACAACAACAACAATGTATATTACATCCAGAAAGTTACCGGAATGAAAAGTATTTTATAAAAATCTAAATGTCATTTTTTTCTACTATTGCCCAAAACATGTGAATGCCTTTAGAGTAGCCGATCAGAATACTTAAAATTAACCATGATATGAAAAATTGTAAACTACGATATTTCATATATAATAAGATTATGATTTATTATAAATATTTGCTGACTTCTATAATGCTGCATTCATATTATGAAGTATCATTCAGACATTCCATTACAATGGATAATCTTTTAAAATATCACTGTCTGCCATGCTCTTTATGCTATTTGATTGCTCGTGCGAATATGTTCTCCCTTTATTGTGCGTGATAATTACATTTTTACAAGACTATTTATCGAATTTTTACATATTTTTATGATTACATCTTTGATAAGAGCAATCAACCTGCTGATTAGAAGGACATACAATAAAACACAGGAATCCCTAGGCAGCAGTATAAAATATAGTGGTTGATATCTTCAATTTGATTGAAAGAATGTTGTTTAACATCCATCGTTAAACGTGACTTTGGTGACCGAGTCATCTAATTAGTTCATCTAAAGAATATTAATAGCCTTTTAACATCGAAATGGTGATTTTAAACGCCGCTTCAACAAGGTGCGTGCGACTCAAATCATTAACTGACTAGGATTGCCAGTATCCCTGTCGACTGTGTTCTCTTCAAGGATTTCGGCTTCCACTTAACACTTGCGTCCTATACTAACAATTAATTTATCATTTAGTCATGTGTTAAACAGCAAATACTTATAGTATCCATATCATTATTATTATTATAACTATTATTGTTATTATTATTATTATTATTATTATTATTATTATTATTATTGTTGTTGTTGTTGTCGTTGTTGTTGTTGTTGTTGTTGTTGTTATTATTATTTTTTTTTTATTATTATTATTATTATTATTATTATTATTATTATCGTTGTTGTTGTTGTTGTTGTTGTTGTTATTATTATTATCATTAATAGTAGTAGTAGTAGTGATATTATCATTATTACTATTATCATGATAATTATTGTTTTTGTTATTTATATCTTAAGGTCAGTGATAAGTTTAAGTTGTATAAATTGCATGGTAACCGTTGAACATGATGATATGCCATCCATCCCAGCCGGCGTATTTTGTCTAGCGTAGAAAAAATCAAAACTGATTGGTTGATTATTGATCATATTATTCTAAAACAATTTGATTTCAAATCTCAATTCGTCAGACTAGAGATTAACCGAAAAGCATTATGGTTTTAGTATAGCGTCATACTATAACCGGTTGTCGCATTAATGACCATTTTGAAATACGAGTTGTTATTTATTTATTTTGTAAAACCTATCCCAGACAATACAAGAGTAAATAAAAGGTAGAATGAAACCAGTGTGACCCCACGACATAGATTGCCTTAGCCGTATTTGCCAAAAATTTTCGAACTTTTCGGCTTTTTGTATTCTTAAACTTTGTATTTGATTCGATCATCACTGATGCGTCGTATGCAGACTAAACGAGCGACTGGTGAGAACAAAAATAAGCCTGGTATTTTTATAAGTTATTAAAACTACTAGGTTGATGTCACTGCTGGTGGACGTTTCGTCACCAAGGGTATCATAAGCTTAGTTGTCAGCACTGTTGTGTTGCCATGCACTTTCATTCATTTTTTCATTTTCTGTCAATTTACTGCTTATAAAATTTTTAAATATTGAATAAAAAGACTTTGGTCTTTCTTCTCCTAGGATTGAAGCCCGGTATCTTTGATGATTTTTTAATAATGTATAGTATTGTGTCAATCAATGTCGATTTCTGTATACTCTGGTTTGTATTTTTCTCATTTATTGTTTTTGTTATGACGTTGTCAGTTTGTCTATGATTTTGAATATCTCTTTGACATCTTCCGCCTGTCTGTTCAAGCAAGTTTACTTCAACAAAAAGAGACACCACCATACAAAATTATAAAAAAAAAGCACACATGTTCAACACGTTGTAACAAACGATCATAAGATTGTTTTTGATCTGCAAGCAAAAAAAAACCAGTATAACCCACAGCACTGAATAACTTACTATCGCTGGGAATCTGATAACTGGTATTCTCTCCCTTCTTCGCAGCATTGTCTCAACCCTGGTTCTGACCATAATTTCTTTATTGTATATATATCTTCTTTGGCAAATGTTCTTACGTTCGAATATTCTTTTTGCATTAACTTCCTGGCATTTTCCTTCCAACAAAAGAAATCTAGCATGGCAAATCATTATCATATAAGTAAAGTATGATTTAATTTAGGATTACCGTTTGTAATTAATTTATCTCTAAGCCATCGTCTTGGGAATGAGCTATCCAGCATATGAAAATTGAACAGAAATTAAATTGATTTTCTTCATTTCATTATGAATTCTTTAAAGTTGCTCTCTCCCCTTTCTTTATCAGGGACAACACAACGGAACACTAATGCAAGATGATTGATACAAATAAATAATAAACTTTAACGAACAAAGAAACCTAACTATTAGGTTAATAGTTACTAAGACTTTACCTCATTTTCAGGATTCTCGTAATCTATTTTTAACAAATCCATTGCACAGATCAACTTTTGAATTGTCGTAGCAATCTGATGATGTATAGGTACAATAAAACTTCTTTTCTCATCTTCAGAGAAACCAACTCCATGGACAATCTTCAACTGTCGTATAAGAGTACTTTTGCCACTTTGATTTGTCCCTCAAAAATTAAAATTATATATCTCATTCATAGCAGTATTAATTTGCATTTTTAAAAGTCTTAGTGTCCGAGGCAACTATTGTTTTAAAAGCAATCATTTATGATTTGTGTTTTATAGCATGTTATATATGTAAATCAGTTAACTGTTGTTGCACTTATTTATACATCAATTGAAATATAAATGTAAAACCGTTGACCATTCCTCGTAAATCAATACAGATATCATTACTACATGATGACAACAGTGATCTGACATTACGTCCCAGCGGGTATTATATTTTTATCAATCTACAACCTATACCAGTACCGACAACCGATTTTTTACGTATACATTTATATATAAATAACTAACAAATGATCAATTTTCAGGTTTTTATGTAGTGCGTTTAGCGTTTGTCTTAAACACTTTCTATAAGAAAACACTATGTCTTGATTTGAATTTAATGTTTTAACTTACCTAACAATAGAACTCTGACCTCTTCCTGTAAGTCCTTTTTGTCCTTCTTTATTCGCTTTTCAATATTTATATTTCCTCGTTTTTGCTCATTTCTAAAGCACATCAACATCTTTGTTACGGTCAGTTACGTATAATTACAATACAATTATCCAACGCTGGAGCACCGCTGAACGAAATTGTATACTACTGAAACATTAAAAACATGTTCATGGTGTAAAGGGCGTGCTATATATAAATTCAAACGTCACTGGACATGTTTAAAATTAAGAATAATAACGTCCTCGGTTAACATTAGTTGTAAAACATGTAAAACATGTAAAGGAAGTGCTATAAATAGATGAGTACGTCACTGCACAGGTTTAAAATTAAAGGTAATAGTATCATCCACATACAGTAGTTGAAAAAACATATAAACGTGAAAAGGAACTGATATAGATAGATGTTAACGTCACTGCACTTGTTTAAAATTAAAGTTTTTATTATAATCGACATACAGTAAAGGAAAAACATATAAAACGTGTAAAGAAAGTGCTATAAATAGATTTCACGTCACTGCACAGGTTTAAAATTAAAGGTAATAATATCCTACACAAACAGTAGTAGAAAAACATATAACCGTGAAAAGGAAGTGCTATTAATAGATATTAAACTTTTAGTAAATAAAAGAATGAAAATGCACATCATATCCTTCTTCAATGAGAAAAGAAAGTAAAACCACATATTTTGAAATTTGAATTTAAAACACGTAGTAGTGTTTTGTATTACACAGTCGTATTGTGACTTTGAGATGAAGAACAGGAATAAAACCTTTGTTTTGCGCTGATTTTGTTTTCTTTAATGCGTGTGTTAAAGATTGATACACTATATATTTCATGCCAGAAATATGGCAGTTGGTTTTCGCTTGTTCCGTTTATTAAAAGTGATTAATTTTGTCGGTTTTAATGGACTTCCCCTTTTTTAAATTTGCCTTGGTATTGTTGCTATACTTTTTTTATTTACAATTTTTTTTACAGATATTCTTAACTAGCGTTGAAATATTGAAATAAGCTCTTATAAAGCTCAGATGACATTTAAGATTCATGAATCTGTCCGTCTCAAACAACGGTCTGATTCGTTGTCCTGATTTTGCTTTACTCTTTTTCGGTTATATTATATTTTAGATTTTCTGTACTTAATGTAATGGTAAACACAGACCAAATGTTTCTTAATATTTGCTCCGATCTGTTGTTATTTGTTACAAACTGTGCCGTTTATAAAAGCCTTAAACATCAATGATTTCCGTTTCTAGATAGGACTATGTAAAGTATTTTCGGTTTGCTCACACAACATGTGTTTCAATAGCCTTTCCCGCAATCATGAATTTTACTTTGAATGCAAATTATGAAACAGTTTATTTCCATTGGTGGGTAGTAAAACTGCTTCGCGATAATGAAGCTCAAAAAAGAGTAACGATCGCGATTTCCGAGTTTTATCGCCGTTAATTCAGACAATTTGTTTTATACAAATATACAAATACGAATAAGGTGGATTGTTTCAGTTTGATTCTTATTTACTGTAAAACAAAAAGAAGGAATGAAGACAATCACAATCATAAATCCTATATAACCAAAAAGAAACAACAAATGTTTACAAAACACTACTCATACAGCTAATGTCTAAGCATTTCGCACACAAAAAAAGGGAAATCACAAGTGTTCATGAAGGATATAGACCATGCTCCACCTTTTGCACGCCCATAACAAATAAAAATCGATAATATGTAGCATTGGGTTATATCACAACCATGGAAAAGAAACGGGTCGTGGTTTCGCTAATTTAAATATACTGAACTGAAAGAAATGAAGAAGCATTGCATGATTAGAATGCTGTACGCCAGACTATATGAAATTACTAGGTGACGCCTGATTGAAAACAATTTGGAGGGCATATATTCTAAAAAGTTGAAGATTTGAAAGACTTTGATTTAAAAAAAAATATAAAAAATAGAATTTGAAATTGACATTATCATCATTAGATGATTGTTTCCATTTAATTTAACTAGAACTAAATCACACAAAAGATTCAGTTATTCATGGTACCTACGTCGACCAGCAGTTAGTATCGGTTTCTTTTAAAGATGAAAATCATCTACTTAAGTGTTTCGATTGCAGTATGACTTGGTTTCTTTGTCACATTATTCTTTTGTTTCGTAGAATAAAGCTTTAGCTAAAATAGAAAACAGTTACGGGAACTGTTAATTAGGAATATTTTTGCTGTGTCATTCGGATGAAGTTGTTAGGGTGGATATCAGGTTAGAATATCGAAATTTTGTATCACATTTGTCAATAGACTATAATCTTGTTGAATGACATGCGTTGTGGATCACTGCCAAACAGGAGTACTAGAGGTACCACTAGATGATCAGAAAACAATATATGTCTACATTGGATCCAACTTATAAAGGTGATATCTACTATTCACCTCCTCTTTTTAGGATTAAAGAAAAGTAAAATTGAGGCAAAATATACAAAAAATACATCAATTTTTCACTTCCCAAATAATCTGTTGTTAATTGAAACAAAAAGTCCAAAGGAGAGGCGAAAGTTACCAGAGTGATATTTAAACTCATGAGACGAAAATAAACTGACAATGCAATGGCTAAAACAAAAGATCAACAGTACACAAAACAAAACATAGAAAACAAAAGACGAACCAATCCCAACAAAACCTCGGGGGGATCCTGAATGCTCAAGGTGAGCAGATCCTGCGCCACATGTGGCACCCGTCGTGTTGCTTAACGTTCTTATTGTATGTGATTTGGGTTTTTTCCATCAGATGATGTTTAAATTTGACGGAACTCAACTGAACGTTTGTCATATTCTTTTCCATTGTATTAAAATAATGCATCGTTCATTGTAGTGGAAATATATACAAACTTTAAGACCTAAATAATAACTAGAAAAATATCAGACTACATTTATGTAACTGTTGTCAACAAATTGGTTGTGGTATTTCTTTGTTTGGTAACTATGCCATTACCGTAGTCCCATATCTGCTCCTTTTTATATAGATGCAATGTTAACATTGTGTAACGGCGAAAAACATTCCATTCTTTAGAAACGTGTAGGTATACAGTGATACAATATAAACGTTAATGCCACAAAATATATAAGATATGTCACATGGCAATTGATTTCCGAGATAAGCAGCATAATAATTGAAATCGAAATTTTGAATTCGATTTATTTCGAAGAAAAGTATTTGCTTTCACAACATTTATATATATTCATGTATTTCTAAATATAATATTGTGTACAATCAACCTGAAAACAACATTATGATTGACCATCAAGTCGTTTTATGTTTCAAGCTGTTCCAAACCGTGAAATAAGAAGTGTTTTGAAAACTTTAGGTTTTTCCTTTAAGTTTCAATAGACGACATACATAGTAACAGGAATTTGTTATTAGTTTTTGTCAGGGGGAACATCTTTAAGTATAGCATACATATTCCTTTCTCATTTAATAACATATACAGAAGATACGTTCCTAAAGCAGTTATTGGTTTTTTTTTCAGGAATATAATATAATATTGAAGAGGAAAATACTGACCCCTTGATAAACTGATAAAACTTTTTAAAAAAGTAACAATAAGAATAACACATACCGTAAAGTTGGCTATAAATGGCTTCGACAGAAAAAAAAAATAGGAAACAATTCAATTGAAAAAACTTACTTTTTAGCTTGATTATCGTGACTACTTAAGGTTATTTAAAGAAGAAAAAAAGAATTAAATTACTTTATGAACGATTAATGCAATTATTTGTGTTGCAAAATAATTGTGGTCCTATATTTTCAAAGTTAAACTGTATTTTAAAATTGCCATTTTTTTATTAGGACTTTCCGTTTTGAATTTTCCTCGGAGTTCAGTATTTTTTTATTTTACTTCTTTTTTTTTTTTTATCTCTGATGAAGATTTGTCTCACTGGCAATCATACCACATTTTCTTATTTTTCATATATTTAATTCGTGCAAATAACCTTTAGCAAACCGAGATCAATATATGTGTCATTCAGTAATGGAACATTTAAATAATCTAATTAGTCTTATTTGATATAGAATAACATTATTGATAATGTTTAATAATATGAATTGATATATAGATTACGGAATCAGATCAAGATCAAGCTAATGTGATTCAATTGTTTTGCAAAACGCATATGAGCTATACCATGATATATTATATTTTTCACAGAAGATACATATGTATAAACACAACATAAAGCCGTTAAAACATAATATCATGACGTTTTCATAGAACAAATATGTATCAAAACAAAACGTTTAGAACATAAAACATAACAATCCAATTTGAGACAAGACGCAATTATTAACTGACCTTCTCAAAAGAAGAATAGACACAACAAAGAGGAAATGTGAAAGAACGTAAAGGTGGTTGATCATAAAGTGTAGAGGTATTCACAGAATATACAGAAGTTACAACATAATGTAATGCATATTGCACACAACAAAGAATAGCAATGACATATCATACAATTGTTTGACAAAACAAATGATTAATTTGACATACCACAGACATGTCAGGAAATAAAGGCACTTACACATAACATAAAAGAGATATGACTGAACGTAAAGACAAAACACATTAAATATTTACACTATAAGACCTTTACGGCGTTCCATAAATATACACCAATTGATTAGTGTTACAACGAAGATTGTTATGCAACAAAACTTCTTTATGAGTTAGATTTCACTGGTTTGTACAAAGTATCTTTAATTCAATATTATTGCTTATGTTTAGAAGATTGGTTAAAAGAGATTATTTGACGTATTTGCAGTATCAAGTTTTACAAACACTGATTAATTTCAAAAGCCATGTTAATTAAATCTGTCATTAAGTTTTCCTATCAATTCTATTACATATTTATAGTTATGCGGCAAGAGTACTCATTAAAGCTAAACGTACTAGCCAAAGGTTGTTGCCAGTGATAACAAGAAACAAACAAAATGGCACAAGCTGCAGCATCGACTTGTGAAATCTGAACTGGCTGACCAGGTGATAACTACTGCCAGCAGTGTGATCAGTTATTTTGCGGTAGCTGTAAATTATCTCATTTACGTGCAAAGTCTTGTATGAACCACTCTTTTGTAAGCGGAAGCGATATTAACAAGGAAGAAAAAAACAAGGAAAGTTTCTTATTCTACTGTCAGGATTATGATACTCCTGTATGTAGAATTTGCTCCGTCGAGAAGCACAGTCGCCATTTGAAGACAGACCTTACTAAATCAACTGTAAAACTTAGATCT